TTCTCTCTGGCAGAGACATGAAGATTCTCCAGCAATAAAAATAGGCATAGTGCCATGCCTTGGTAACATCCTTGATACTGCACTCCCACTAAGTGGGAGAGAGAGGGACGGTAACTTCCCCTCCAGGCAAAGCTGCTTTCTCTGTCTCCTTTTGTACTTTTAAGGATGAACTGATGACAATTTATGTTTGTGGAACAACTGGAGGCACAGAGAACATATTTTCCTCCTACTTCAAGCACAACATTTTAGCCTTAAAAGTCTATGATATTTTACAGACCAACCCCAGGTTGGCACGCCTAATGCTCCTTTGTCCTTTGAATGCCTGTTGAAAAAGTGCTTTCCTGCCCTGTCTGTGGGATACGGACTGGGAACTGTAACTGTCCAGAGAGGCAACAGCTGTGGAACAGAGGACTTTTCCTACAGCACTCCGCAGGTCACTGTCCCAGTAATACTGGTTTGGCTGATCTTTCTGCTGGCAAATTGTAAATGTGAAGAGGCATTGAATATTGAACTCTAGCACTGATCAAATTCAAAATTAGATACTCAGACTAAATCTGTTCAGATTTTACCAGAGAGCATAGTGAAAATCAATCTTTATTAATAGGAATAAATCTCAGTTAATCAGTCAGCAGTCATTTAATATGTTACATGGGATATGCCTGTTATAAAACATCCCATGTAACTGCAAAACTTTCAACGGTACTGGAGTGTTACTGGAACTGAGTTTTCCACAATTTCTAACAGAAAGAGATGCCTCTCTTTTAAAATTTGTGTGCAGACTGAACGAACATGTTAAATATCTCTGTGAATGCACCACAGGGTGAGGTACAGAGTAGCAAGGCCATTGCATGCACCCTACACTGGAAAAGATGTGGATTATCCCACAGCTGGAAAGACCTCAGCTATATCTAAGAAAAGTACTTGGCTCTTACAGCAACTTTGTCATCCCTGTAACCTGCGTTAGAAGATACTTGCTAGATTTCATACAGAAAATCCCGAAATTCTGTTAGTTTTCTGTTGCTGAGTGGTTCTGCAAAAAGGATTGTATGGAGCAAGGTCCTGCTCTCCTTCAGCTTGGACAGCCCCTTGCTCTGCCATCCCAATCTCTGCAGGTCCTCGGGGGACTGAAGATAGACACTATGCTTTTAACTAGTAAACAGACCTCTTATGATGATACACTGGCGTTCACATTGGCCACAATTGAAGGAAAACATGAGACTTGCTGCACTTTCATTCCCCATGTCTCAGTATGGATTATAATGACTGCATCTTCCTTAGTCCACAAGGCTTTTGTTGATTGGTTGAACTTTACTTTTATTTTCCAAGGAGTCAACAGTGAAAAAAATTAAACCATAGATTTAATAACAGACCCTCCTTCTCCCAGCTGTTGAAATGATCTGGCAGTCTGGAAGAGCACTGATGGAACAGCTATTGCAAATTGACATTCATCATAGATAGGGTCTGGACTCTGAAATCAAAGATTCTCCTGAAGTACAAGAGTTTAGACCCAGGATTAGAGGCTGGTGATATAAATTACTCTTGATGGGACCAAATCTTGACCAAGATGGAAAACTGACTCTCAGGGCCCTGAGGACCACAGGTTTGGTCTAGATTCTTTACCATCTGCAATAACTTCTGTAAAGAAGTTGGAGAGGTTCATGGCAGTAATCAGTCATCATCTCCAAAACTACCAGATGTTATTCATTGGAAGTTTGAAAAGACAGGTGAGTCAATAGAGAATGTTTGCCAGTAAAGCATCAAGTGGATTTTCCAGTCTTTCTTCACCACCACAGGTAGTTAGTATATCTGGTATGCCACACCAAATAATAAGAATTGCATACCTCCTCATTTTCTTTGTGCAACACTGGCTTTTCCTCTAATGTCTGAGACATGACAATGGTCAAAATGTGTTTAAAACACCAAAGCAAAATTAGATCACATGAGCTTACATTAAGGTTTAACACATGGCCCCGTTCCAGGTGTAAGCAATAGAACTGGGCTGTAAAACGCATCACAGCATCTTTCATATAATTAGAGAAGGAGTTGTACCCAGCCATAGAAAACCAGAAGGGCTCCTGCCCCCACTTTACATTGTCCCAGTGAAGAGCAATACTAATGTTCTGAGGCCACCTACTGTTTACTTTTAACACCTACATGTTAATGTATATAATACTGTCCAAGAAAGCAGGTTTTTCTTAATGACCAGAAAGTGCTCCCGATAGTCCTTAAGGAAGTCAAGATACATCAGAAACAGGACTTGCTGCACTTTAATTGCCATTGCTTTATAAATAAAATCATCCACAGCTTGTTAATATGATTTACATTGAAAATAATTATTACCATCCTGATAACTTTTTTATTTCATTAACATCTTTTGTAATCTCTGTAAGAATACCATTAGAAGTGCCAGATCATCACAGAGCTTCCACTTTCAAGTTGTCAGATGGACTCTAGGTGCAGAGTGGAATCCTAGCTCCACTGACTCACAAGCAATTATTCTTCTTTGCTACAACAGAGCTAAGTTAGGGTTTTACTCTCTCTCAGTTCATCATAACAGGAATTTGCTGATCCCATGCTGTTAAATCTACCTGCTGCCTCAAACTTTGGATTGAAGCACAATGAATAAAAGAGGGAGAGAAAGAAGGAGGAGGAGAATCAGAAGCTGTTATCCACAAAATGTCCCTGACTGAAAGCCTCGAGCTGAGCCTGTGGAGGCCAACCACTGCAGTGCAAATGGAAAGAAAGCTGAAACCAGGCACTGCAATCTTCTGCCTATTACAAATAAGATTCAGTTGACTCTATTACACAGTGACACCCTTTCATTTACACATCTACTGCACATTTTCAGCTGCTATTTAGGCACGGGTTCCTAGTTCTTGCTGTAACACTGGTCCCACTTTTCTTCCCATTAAACAGGGTCAGCTGAATGCTCAGCCCTCCTCATGCAGTCTTATCTAATAAGCAATGGGACATTCAGTCTCTCTAACCAGCATCTGGCTTATAAAGGCTTCAGTGCATCAATCAATCAATCAATCAATCAATCAATTAAGGCAACAAAGGCTGATACTTTTTTTGTCAATTCTACTCCACTGAAGTTCTCTTCTATCTAAATCATATTCTTCAGAGCTCTGTAAAAATCTCAGTTACATCTCCTCAGTTTGTTGTACCTCATTGGCTAGTAGTACCTTGACTGGACAGCAGATCTAGTCAGGCAGAACCACTGCTGCTGGTTCTGCAGTCTACAGATCCTAAGAGAGAGGTTACCTAGTTTGTTCCACAGAGCTGCAATCATCTGTCTCCAAAGAAGATGAAAACAAGCATGTATAGTCCATATCTTTTAAACGAATATAAAATAATATAGATATATAAAATAATATAGAAAATAATTATTTTAAACCTCTTTGTAATGAGTACCCATATTTAATGAAGCCCAAGAAAGTCCCCTCTAAGGACTGAAAATTTTAAGTTCTTTATTGATTTCCTCACTGATTGTTAAAGAATACCTTAATACAATGATACAAGAGGCAGTGGTTAATGAGTAGCTGGGTACTTTGATGTATGCACTCCCTTTCCTCACTGTCAATGCAAAATAAGTACAAGTAGCTTGCCTTGAATTATTTTTCCCTTTTATGTAAAAATTACTACAACTTTCTTCTCTAAGTCAGCCCTGAGGATTTACAAAGCCATGCTGAATTCAGAAAATGAAGTAATCTCTGAAATGAAAGCTAAATGCTACCTGGATACCAGCCACTATGATCTGATTACTATGAACTTGTGAAGTTACAGATGGTCCCAACTCTAAGATACATATTTTCTGTTTCATATGGAGACATTTTTAATGTCTAAGGAAAATTATTAGTGAAATAGATCAGGAGAAAATTGTAGCCACAAGAAAGCGGATGAAAAGGAAGAAGATTTTATTAGGTTAGTTACACTGCAGAAAGAGGCAGGGCTTAGATATGGCAAAGGATGTGGGAGAGTTTGGTCGCTTAGGCAGTGTTCTCTTCAGCTGTGAGCACCAAATCTAATGCATCTTCATGGCTGCGTATAACAAATCAGTCAATGCTAACACTGCACAGTGCTCCTATGTTCAGTGGATGTGAGCCCTTAAACAACGAGAATAGTAAAATCCCACAGTGTTGGGCTAGGTCCCTTCTTTAGCAGAGAAAAGAGAATAGCCAGTGGACATGAACATAGACACTGGTGAAAAATATAAATGGGAAAACAGAATCACAGAATCATTTGGGTTGGAAAAGATCTTGAAGTTCATCTAGTCCAAACATTAACCTCACACTGACCGTTCCCAACTACACCAGATCCCTCAGTGCTGTGTCAACCCGACTCTTAAACACCTCGAGGGATGGGGAATCCACCACCTCCCTGGGCAGCCCATTTCAACGCCCAACAACCCCTTCTGCAAAGAAATACTTCCTAATATACAGTCTAAACCTTCCCTGGCACAACTTGGTTAAAAAGACTCATCCCCAGCTCTCTGCACCCTCCTGTCAGGGAGCTGTAGAAGGCGATGAGGTCTCCCCTCAGCCTCCTCTTCTCCAGACTAAACCCCCCCAGTTCCCTCAGCCGCTCCCCGTACGACCTGTGCTCCAGACCCTGCACCAGCTCCGTTGCCCTTCTCTGGACACACTCGAGTCATTCAATGTCCTTTTTGTCATGAGGGGCCCAAAACTGAACACAGGAATCGAGGGGCGGCCTCACCAGTGCCGAGTACAGGGGTCAGATCCCTTCCCTGTCCCTGCTGGCCACGCTAGTGCTGACACAAGCCAGGATGCCATTGGCCTTCTTGGCCCCCTGGGCACACTGCTGGCTCCTGTTCAGCCGGCTGTCAGTCAACACCCCCAGGTCCCTCTCTGACTGGCAGCTCTCCAGCCACTCCTCCCAAGCTTGTAGTGCTGCTGGAGGCATGGCTCTTAAAAGAGCCTTTTTGTTGGTTAAAATATTTTCTGTCATACTTGGTAATTCTCTAAAGAGGATTATGCACGTTAACCATGGATGCGGCAGGCCAGCTGGATGTTCTTGGGCATGATGGTGATGCGCTTGGCATGGATGGCACAGAGGTTGGTGTCCTCGAAGAGCCCCACCAGGTAGGCCTCGCTTGCCTCCTGCAGCACCATCACAGCCGAGCTCTGGAACCGCAGGTCAGTCTTGAAGTCTTGCACGATCTTGCTCACCAGGCGCTGGAAGGGCACTTTGCAGATCAGCAGCTCCATCAACTTCTGGTAGAGCCGGATCTCGCACAGCAGCAGTGTGACGGGTTGGGAGCGGTGCGGCTTCTTCATGCCACTCGTGGCTGGTGCGCTCTTGCAGGCCGCCTTGGTGGCCAGCTGCTTGCAGGGTGCCTTCCCACCTGTCAACTTACACGCTGTCTGCTTTGTGTGCACCATCACTCAGTAAAAAAGTATGCTCAGTACCACTATGTAGTTTCAACAGCACTATGTAAAAGGTTAATTATGCATAAAACTAAGGAAATGAAAGGGAAAAAATATAACAGTGCTAGCAGTAAAGAAACTATAGTAATGGCAACGTGCCATTTTTAGGTGGAGATGGTATAAAGCTGAGGTATGGATGGTTATGAAATGTTAAGTAATATTTCCATTCTAACCCAGGTTTCTATTCTACTGCTAAAGGTAATGATATCACTTGAACTTCTCAAATAATTTAACTTTTGGCATTCCTGTTAAAAGTCAGTACTGTTCTGCAGAGAACAAATGAATGGATTAAGCCCTTGGTGAGTGAAGTTACATCCATGTCATCTTTTCAGAGCCAACACAATTAAAACTGCTGGAGGCCGTTCCACTCATCCACTTCTGTGCAGCCACAGTGCCACTTACAGGCAGCATGTGAGCCACACATCTGGTGTCTGCACTGCTTAAATGCACTCTGAGAAGCTGTCTAATACCCCTTTCATCAAACTTGGCATCTGATAATGTGGGGTCCTTCCAGGAAGGGCTAGAAATATGCCCCAAGGTTTATTTCATAATCACTCTTGACATGAATCCAAGCAGGAAGGCAGATTATAGCTCAAAATCAAAAAGGGGGTGTCCCACACTCTGTGTAAAGTCTCAAATATAAGAGGTGGTAGGAAACATGAATGACATCTCAAACATGACTGACTGGTGTTATCAAGTGTAAGCCCATCGAGGTAGTTTAAGCCATTAAATTGCTTCATCCAGTCTCTAACTCACTGCAGACTATCAAACTGCAGATCAACATAGTCACCACAAACAAGAATGTGCAGACAGAATGACTGATCAAGACTGCTTAGTATCCTCAGTTCATCCAAGCTGTGTTTTAATACAGACAACAGCAATTACACATGTAAATACAAGTACAAGGCTGTAACACCATTTAAAGAACACACAGAATGGGAGAGTAACTCCTAAGAAGCAGTGGTTGTTTAAGTGTTTTTACAAACTGTGTTGAACAGATGTGGTGGTACGAAGAACTAGGATTGCATCTGAAACTATAATCAGGGCAATAATCAGTAGACATAGTCAGACTGCATTTTCCATTGTGTATTTGGGATAAATAAACCCATCACTAGAGTGCTGCAGTCTTTCAGGACTGCTTCTTAAAATCTGTAGATGATCAATACAGAGCCACAGAAATATCTGAAGGCTGAAGGAGATTCTTCTCTGGGACCAAGTTAATGAGCTTAGTGTGTTTAGTCGTTAAAACAAAACCTGACAAATCACTTGTTTCCAATCTATAAGACCATCACAAAGGAATACTGAACTTTAAAGAATTAGAGATAAAAGAATAAGAAGAATCAATGCCAGAAGGTGGAAATGATCATATGCAAATAACGAATTAGGTAGAACTTTTTCATTTGGAAGCAATTAACAAAAGGAACAAACCAGCAAGACAAAGAATAGACTTTCTGTTCCCTGATAGCTTTGTATTTGGACTAGATGCCAGTCTGTAAAGTTTCTTTTAGTTCAGCACAAGGCTTGTCCATGCATACCTGGGCCAAATGCAGTGGCCCATGTTATGTGGGGCTTAGTGCATCACTGAGTATTTTGCCTTATACCCCTACAGTTGTGTCTTCTCCTGCCTCCATCTCCAGCTTGCCTGCATAAGCACTGAGTATAGGAAGCCTGAGCATTTCAGTCTATTCATCATTATTTATCTTGTCCGCAGGTCCTCTCCCTAGGTGCAGGCAGCAGTGATCTATTCAAACATTAGGACACAGCTGACAGACAAGCCCTTTCCTGTCTTATGATGATCTGGCATACACCTTTCACATGTTACGAATGTACTGTGCAAGGATTGTTGAAGATCTAAAAGGAAGCAAAACTAGTGGATGCACATTTATTTAGAATAAAATAGACTAGGAGGGACCTAAAATAGTCATCTAGTCCAACTACCTGACGAAAAGTTAAAGCATGTTATTAAGAGCATTGTCCAAATGCCTCTGTAACACTGACAGTCTTCAACCACCTCTCTAGGAATCCTGTTCCAGTGTTTGACCACCTTCTAAGTAAAGAAATACTTCCTAATGTCCAGTCTAAACCTTTCCTGGTGCAGCTTTGAACCATTGCCACACATCCTAACACTGGATAACAGGGAGAAGAGATCAGCATCTCCCTCTACGCTTCCCCTCCTCAGGAAGCTGTAGCAAGCAATGAGGTCACTCCTCAGCCTTCTTTTCTCCAGACTAGACAATTCCAAAGCCCTTGGCCACTCCTCACAGGATAGGCCTTCCAGCCCTTTCACCAGCTTTGTTGCCCTTCTCTGGAAACATTCAAAAACCTTCACATTTTTCTTAAACTGTGGGGCCCAGAACTGCACACAGTACTGAGGGTGATGCTGCACCAGTGCTGAATACAGCAGGATAATCACCTCTTCTGACTGTCTGGGTATACCATGGCTGATGCACCCCAGGACGTGGTTTGCCCTCTTGGCTGCCAGAGCACTCTGCTGACTCATACTGACCCTGCTGTCGACCAGCACCCAGATCCCTTTCTGTAGGGCTGCTCTCCAGACACTCCTCTCCGTTTGTACTTGTGCCTGGTGTTACTCTGTCCTAGGTGCAGAAACTGGCATTTTGACTTGTTAGATTTCATCACATTAATCATAGCCCAGTGTTCCAGTCTATCTAGATCCCTCTACAAGGCCTCTTGACCCTCAAGAGACTCAACAGCACCTCCCTGTTTGGTATCATCAGCAAACTTGCTAATGGTTCATTTAATCCTGCATCCAGATTGATGATGAACAGGTTCTGGCCCTAGAACTGAACCTTGAGGAACACCACTGGTGACCAGTCACCAGCCAAATGTAGCCCCATTCACTACAACCCTCTGAGCTCTGCCCTTCAGCCAGTTCTTCACCCAGTGCACTGTGAATCCACTTATCCCGCAGACAACTGGTCCGGAAGGATGCTGTGAGGGACAGTATCAAAAGCCTTACTAAAATCCAGAAAACTACATTCACCACCTTGCCTTCATCCACTAGGTGGGTGACCCTATCACAGAAGCATATCAAATTAGTTAAACAGGATTTACCCTTTGGGAACCCATGTTGACTGTTCCTGATGATTGCATTATTCTTTAAATGCCTTTCAGTAGTAGCCAGTATAATCTCCATAATTTGTCCAGGAACTGACATTTCACTAAGAGGTCCATAGTTCCCTGGGTCTTCCCTCACACCCTCCTTGTGGACTGGGACAACACTGGCTAACTTCTGGTCAGCAGTGACCTCCGCAGACTCCAAAGACCTTTGGTAGATGATCAACAGGGGTTCTGCCATAACATTCACTAGCTCCTTCAGAACTGTGGGATGAATCCCATCAGGCCCCATGGACTTGTGAACATTCAGATGATACATCTGGTCCCTAACAATTTCAGTGTTCCCCAAATGAAAATTCACTGTTCCTACACTCATGGTCCTCCAACTCATGGGACCAGGCAGTCTAAGGTCTATCAGTATTATTAAAGACTGAGGCAAAAAATGCATTGAGTGCCTTCACTTTTTCTTCATCCCTATTTGTCAGGAGATCATCTTTAACATGTATCAAGTCAATGTTTTCTTTAGATATCCTCTTGCTATTAACATACTTTAAAATGCCCTTTTGTTATCTGAAACAACACTGGCCAGTTTCAACTCTAATTGAGCTTTGGCCTTTTATGTATTCTCCCCGCATAAACAAAGCACAGCTTTGTACTCTCCCTGACCTCGCTTCCAGATATGATACATTTTATTTTTTTTTTTCTTCTGAGCTCCACAAGAAGTTCCCTGTTCAGCCAAGCTGGTCTTCTGTCCTGTTTACTTGAGTTACGACACAGTGGAATTGCCTGTTCTTGTGCTTCTAAAAGATGGTTCTTAAAGGCTGACCAGCACTTGTGGATTCCTAAGTCCTCAAAAGTAGATTCCCAGGGTACTCTGCTAAACAGCTCTCTGAATAGCTTAGTTTGCTCTCCTAAGTCCAGGGTAGAACCTCTGTCGTCCTTTTTTGTCATTACACTTAAAATTTTGAACTCAACCATTTCATGAGCACTGTGGCCAAGACAGTCACCTACCATCAAACCCCCCATGAGTCCTTCTCTATTTACAAATAGCAAGTCTAGGAGGGCATCTTTCCTAGCTGGCTCACTGAGTACCTGTCACAAGAAGTTTTCTCCTGGAAACTTCAAGAATTTCCAAGACCTGCTCATCACAGCAGAATTTCCAAGACCTGCTCATCACAGCAGTATGGTATTCCCAGCTGGTCTGATAAATTGAAATCTTCCATAGGGACAAGGGCTACTGATCCAGAAATTTCTGCTAATTGCCTACAGAATAGCTCACTGATGCTTACATCCTGGATGGATGATCGTTAGTAGACACCCACTACAACATCTCCTTTGTTTTCCATCCCCCTAATCCTTACCCAGATATTCTCAACCACATCATCACTAACTGTAAGGGTTGTGAAATCAAACCTCTCCCTTGCATATAATGCCACACCTCCTACCTTGCCTGCCCTGCCTATTCCTCCAGAATAGCCCGTAGCCCTCCATCCCAGCACTCCAGTCATGGGACTGGAGACGACTTTCCCTCTTCTCCAATGAGAGGAGAATTTCCTCATTTTCTTCATCCTGTTATCCCCAGAAGGAAGGTAAGGAAAAGGTTACACCAATAAACATATTTAAATGTTTATAGAAGCATAACACAAATTGTGTGTACATACAGCCACATATTTTAAGTACATCTGTAACAGAGGCTCCAAATAAACTGCAATACATGCAGTTTTATTAGCAGCCAAAATTTCCTAACAACACATGTATAAATCATAAAGTTCTGTAATTGTGAGTTCCATGGCTTGAAATTCACCTGGTGACTCAAGGATGTTGTTATGTGAAATTCATGAGAGATAGTTTACTCAGTGATTTCCATTTTTAATTTT